TTATCACAAGGCCACAGGATTAATAGCTGTGAAACGGTTTTGCAGACATATTCAGATACCTTCTAACATACATTAAAGAGCCACCACATAGCGAATAATAATAGTTGATACCGCTTTTTTGCATATGTCGTATTTGATAATGATTATATTAACAGCATACGCTTTCATATGGGGAGAAATGCGTGCCGCGTGACCAACGCCTGTTCTATCATTATAAAACCGGCGTCGCAGGGGTTGGCTGCGGAAGCGGATGTCCTTTGTCGTTGGGTGCTGTTGTTGTGAATTTTAATCTGGGAGCGAGTCGTGTCTTCATGTGATTGATACTTGTTTTGTGAGAGAAAATCTCAGCATTAAGATGCCAGAAAAAAATGGTTGTATGTTGCCGACATGACTCGGTCGCCGTTCGCATGATTTTCAAATGATACCTGCTACCGTGTTATATAATCACAGGACTCGATGAACGTCCAGATGCACGCAGTGTTATCGGTTGCCATGCATACATGTTACAGGTATGGTTAAAATGATTTTAGAAAACTTCTGTTCTAATTCGGATGCAAGGTGCTCTCTTGTTTTTCCATCCATTAGCTCCATGGGCCCAGGATTCGATTAGTCTACACATGAAGATACCAAACGAAGTGCAGTCGACTTCGAACGTATCCCACAATAATTAGCTATCGATTCCCTATTAAAGATCACGTTATGGTCGAGCCTGCAGGAAAAGAGACGGAAGCATAAAGCGGTGCGGCAATGGTGATCTTTTGCCAATTTAGCTAAAAACAAAAAATCCAGCCATTGGATAGGTCTAACGTTTAATTTTTTTTTTCAAAGTTTCTTTTGTCATAGAGCTTCCTCTTCGGACTTACTCTATATAGAGCCGGGAAGGTTTCCACGCACTGGGACATATGACTACCTTTAAATTTTTATTAAAACGGTATCCTCAGTTTTAATCTCAAGTATCTTAGACTATGGAACACTAAACAACACAACAGGCAAGAGCTTTCGCCTCTTACCGTTTCATCTACAGCACGCTTACGGCCCTCTACCGCTCGCTCATTTTGAGTATTCCGTGCATTTTATTTCTTGCCCGGTAGAATAACAAACATTGACACTTATGCACTTACAGAAGTAAACTATCCTATGGAGTTCATTGGCATTGTCGATAACAAATATTCTTTAATGCCAAATAACTAGTTTTTTAATTAGGTGTTGTTTAGTAAATGTTTCTTTTTTCGCTATTGAAAATAATGTAATCTTCGAACTATGTGCGAACGAGCTGACTATCGATAGCCATATTGATGTATTTATAAATTTAGTAGAAATGTTTCCCATGTCTTCGCTAATCTGATTTGAACTCTAATTACAAGTTTGATTTTGTCCAGTTGAGGTACGTTGCATTGAAAAATGGCTTAAAAATTACTGTTTCTCTCTCTTTTTTTTTAGATCCTAATTATTTTTTCTGTTTTTTTTTATGGCTCTTCTATATAGATCCTAATGTCGAAAGCGTTTTCATGGCGTTGCTGAAATCTAAAACGTTATATAAAGGGTATCAATTCGTTGCAACGATAAGACATTTTTTAGCCATTAACTGTTTTTTTCTCTGAGGTTATGCCTGGCGTCGGTGCGTATTATGTAAGTATGTATGCAAGTGTCTAGGGAAAAACAAGCTACTCCGTAATTAAATATGGCTTCCCAATTATTAATTCTACAGTTATAGTTCTTGGTGAGGAACAAGTTTGCTTTCAGTGAAACAGCTGTATGGACCCGAACATCGAGAAGCTGTCAAACTGGAACCGAGTGCTATTATAATTTCTTATAAGTGAGGAATTTATCTTTGATCTCGTTTTCTTTTTGCGTTGTTATCTCAACCGACGTTTGGCTTTTATCAGTCTGCAGGTATCGCCGAAAAATATCTTTATCCCTCTTGCGTTTCACCTGCAGGCCCCTTTCGTCTACCTCGTTATGCTTGTCAGTTCGTGACGACCTAATGTCGACCGCGGAGGAAGGAACTGTCAATATTTAAGAGATATGATTATGCACCGGCATAAAAGCCGGCGTCAGCATGAAACAAGTGGGGAGTTAGGATTGTAATTCTGCTCATTCTCTAATATAGTTTTTTATCCTTTTATTCTTCCGGTATTCCGTAAATTGTCCAGATGCTCAATGGAACGTGGATGAGTTTCTACACGGCACAGGTATCCGATAATTCCTAATGTACAGAAAAGTGGTAGTACAAGGAGCGGTTGTGTATTACTTCTCCAGTGAAACAATTCAAATAACTTAAAATGCTCTGTCCGAGCTAATGAAACTGTCCGGTTAGCGGGTGAATAACTTGTTCGGTCCTTGCTTTTGTCAGTGACTAATGCAAACTTACTCGTTGGCCCGCCCTTCCAGTCACTGACTCGAACCTTCATGCGTCATGTTACGCGCGCAGTGTTATCGCAATGTTTTTATACGATTTTCTTACTGGCAAACATTTCAATTATGCAAATAAAAAATTATCCAATTAAACCCGATCTCTTTTAGACCATGCTCGTAATCTGACGCGAATAGCATCAGTAATTGGTCACCATTTTCATACCAACGGTGTATTCATCTATCTTTTATAAAAAAAAAAAAATGTTTCAATATCGTATATTCGTAATATTCAGTATCACATTCGTACGTTCCCAACCTGCCACTCCGCCTTCACTTACCCACCCTTCAAAGGAAGAATACTCTGTTCTCCAGTTCTGGAAACAACCCAGTGTGTTTGTGTTGGTCTGTAGGTATGTATGGCACTGTCAGCCTCTTAAAACACCGTCAGGACTTATCGAGACGTAATGTGTGCCTTTGAGGAAATCAACGTTGCGTTCCTCCTTTACGCATGTAATAGTTTTCACTGGTTCTAGGTGGGTTCATTGCTGCAGAGCTGACAGTGGCAATAGTTACCTCTGCATACATTATGCACTTGCTAAACGTAGGCCACTGATCTGTGGCCTTATTGTTGTTGACAGTCACTGCGATATCCAACGTGGCGTCTTCAACACTCAGCATTCATCCAACGACAGCCACATTTGGGTCACGAGAAATTTGTCGGTTCTGTAACAGTTTCGTGGTGGTCACCGTCGCAGCTTCCTTTGGGTCAAAAAATTAGTCTCTAGCATTACCGCTGTCGAAGTTTCTATCATAGCAGTGGCACCAGTAGTACTATTATTGGCATTATGTTGACATAATTATCTTCATTATCAGTGCTCTTATACACATTATTATGATTGTATAAATCGACCATTAGACACAAGTAAGAATAATGCGTTAGGTCACCCAGTAAATGCCAATTTCTGCCACCCTACAAATGGGTGCGCTAGAAATTTGAATCGAGAGGAACTGCAGCCGTCCTGGCTCCAAGCTCGTTTCGTCTATGGAGTGCTGTGTACGTATCCGTCGGCGACACGAATGAAAATCGCGTGGGTGCGCGAAACCATCGCCGACTGCCACTTTTTTTTTTGCCGTCGTTGCCTTCTCTTTCTCTCTCTCTCTCTCTCTCTCTCTCTCTCTATATATATATATATATATATATATATATATATATATATATATACGCGCTAACGCTGAAGTACCACGTAAACTCTACATACAGTTATCGCTGATTGTGGAGTGGCTTAGATTGTTCAGCTGCGTTAGTTTGTTTTGCCAGAATCGAATCATCCGTTTATCTGTCGATATGTCGCGATCTTTCTTCGTTTGGAACTATCATCCTCCATTAACTGCTGAAGCAGACGGTATAGTTGGAACTGCTGCCTTGATCTGATAATGTTTCTCATTCTTATCACTTGTATCTATCTATAATTTTTATCTGTGTGAACTATATAATGTATGGATGTGGTCATATGATTTCACGTATATTTTTTTGATTGCTAGTTGTTGCTGTTGTTTTTGTTCTTCGTTTGTTTAACGACACCATTGCGTTTTAACGAGACGTCGGCGGCGTCACGATTTCAGGGCGTCCCACGGTTAAATTACATGCGTCGTTATCATTATGAGGACGTGCTGACGTAGGTGAAGAGCTAGAAATGTTATCACCAAATCGCCGGCGGCTGGTTGTTCTTATCTATATCATTGATCTGATCTCGTTTGCTGGGTGCGACCTGGAGATTTGTATTAATTGGGAGAGCCCAAACAGGGGATCACTTTGCGTACGGTGGACGTCACGCGGCTTCTATTTTTGCGCTTTGCCCGCCTGCTATGCATTTGTGAATGCAATTAAGCGCGCAATTACGTTCGGAGTCTAGCGGGGCGGTAATATACAAGTCAAATTCTGGAACATCGCTTCTTCTTTTTACGACAACTTTAGTTCTTCAGTTTACGACAAAACCAATTGGACTGGGATTCTGATGCCAAAGTGGACTTCCTGCGATATCAGTGTATGTCAGAAACCACTTTGTAGCTATAATTTTTTTTTATTTCTCATAAAAAGGTTTACTAAAGATAGGCTACAGAGTAACTAAGTGAACATTTTCATAATGAATTTAAGTCACACACAATTTTAATTTGGGAAGCGACAGATTTGGCTATATTGTACTTTGTAGGATCTCTCAGAACTCTCCACCCTGGAGGCTTCAGTGTATTTAGTATAGTCCACTGGGGCCTTTGCCGCCTAAGGTTAATCGAGCACAATGAGTCTCCTGCCTTCAGAAAAAAAAGTACACTCACACTTAGGTCCGTATTGAAGGCGAGCTGTCTGAAATAACACTTCATGGTTATACTGGATCTAAAACTCGAAAGTGGTTCATATCAGTATGCTCACCAGACGAATTAACTGTTCGGAGCCATTAATATCTGAAAACACTGTTAAAATGACGCGTTTTCGTCGTGCAGTAGAAAGTCCATTAGAAATATTAACGTGAATTGTTGAATTGGTCGTATACTTTACAAACTTCCAGCCGTGTCAATACTGTGACTAGCTTTAACATATGTTTAATGAGACAACCTGTCATTATTGCGATCTGTCTGCTTTTTTTCAGGGGAAAATTCGCTACGGTCCGTCGCTGTCGTCATATCGAGTCTGGCCGCGATTTCGCAGCGAAATATCTTCGAAAACGTCGAAGGGCAGAAGATGTGCGGCACGAGTTGATACATGAAGCGCTCGTACTTGCGTTGGCAGATAGTTGTAAAAGGATCATCTCCCTCAAAGAGATCTTTGAAACGCCCACTGAAGTTATACTCGTTCTTGAGATGTAAGTTGAGCGTGTAAGACAACGATCACGTTTTTCTTTGATGGCGAAGATTCTCAGCGGACCTTATCCGTTAAGTTAGCGAGCTTAGTATAATAGAAATTATTAACCTATGTTTGTTGCCTTCCTTATTAGTACTAAAAGTTAAGTGAGAACTAACCTCACTTGACACTCTTGAATTGACTCTCAGGTGCTACTTTTATGACAGGTTTCGGTTCTGTTGTTTAGCATTGCTTCGGGGAGTTTTCAAGGAAGAGAATTAGTATGAACAGACTGAAGGCTCAATTATAACCTAATGCTTTTTCGTAACTGATGACCACCTCGGTATCCTTGTGTAGCACTGCTTCAGGAATCAGTTAAGCTTGGTGGCTTAATATAAGCCATTTGAAGGGGTCAAGCAGAAGAAGTAATGACTATCTTTACAGCTTTTGTTACTATTCAAATCCAAATATGTCTACGCCCAGATTAGAAACTAGACTACTAAGTGTCTTCCGGTCAGCAGGCGAGCGCGTTGTCATTACTCTATTGTGATGATAGTACCCCGTCTACATATATAGATTACATACAGCTCTCACCAATTTCTCATACGATCTCTAGTTTATCAGTCTCAACCGGGTGATGTCTAGTACCGAAGCGCTGTTTGTTTCAAATAGAACGATAATTGTTAGGACTACCAAGACGTTTTTAGTGCCTGGCCAGTAGGAAGGTTAATAGGTTTTGCGGTCTTTGCCCTTCCACTTCTATGTCGGTTTCACATTAATTAAAATCTTTGGGTAGCGTAAAACAACAGCTGCTTAAATATTTTACCACAAACATATTATTACTGCTATCGGGAATATTCCTATTTAGCTGAAAAAAGGACAATTGTGGACACCTACTGCCCTGTTGGCTTGCCGACTATGAGCGGGTAAGTAGAGACTCTGCACTGAATGGCCTACTCGAATGACTTAATTGTTGCGACTATTTTCAGCGAATAGCCATTTCGGTTTATCCTTTCCCTCTGACGCTCTATCAATCTGAGGTTGTTCGTATGTTGTATATCTGCGTCGTTGCCTAAGAGCGCGTAAACACGTGGCTCAGTACGCTGCAACCGTTTATTGCATCGTCATTGTACAATTAATGTGCTACTGCGTCACGAAGCGCCGCAGCGTATCATTGACTTCCACCACTATATTCAATATCTACTACTGAGATTTGAAAATAAGGATTTTCAAGGATCAAGATCAACTCTGAATTCCTTACTTGACATACGCATACGTTACAGGCAATTATAGTATATGATTATCCGCCGTGCTTATCCCAGGGCAAGTTTTACTTACGTAAGGTAAATCGTTGCCATCTAATCTTTCAGCTTTTCTATTCTCACGACAAGCAAGCGGATTCAAATTTCTATCAAAGCTATATATATTACGAGACATTCAATTATTGTTTTCAAGGCTATTTACCTACCTGTCTGACAGTCCCTTTAAGACAGGTCAACTTAAACGGTCAGCGAACACCGCAGCCGCTTGTAATGCGCACGGCGAATCATATACTCTTGATACATTGTCTTTACGTGTCTGACCTTGTGTTGTCATGGGTACGTGTGTGTAAGTATATATCGTGTGCTGTGAACGCGTCTATTCGTTGCCTGGCCACTTTCGTTGAAATCGCTTTTTTGCTTACTCGAATCAAATGAAGTTCCGTTGAGCTGAGTCAGTTTTGGCTCATCTGGGCGTCGTTGCCCAGGGGCCGGTTCGTCAGGTAGTTTGCCCATCGGGCGTAGATGTCTTCTATAGAAAAAAGACGATAGATGGCATCACTATCTCTGTACCACCATTGTGTCTTCGTGTGTGCCTGTGCTCATTTGAAACACTGAACCCAGTGTGTCCAGGGCTTATATTAGCGATTGACTAGTCGGTGAAAGACATCCGCGAAAATTTCAGCATTTCGTAGTAGCGTAACGCAGAGTTTTTCGTTACTTACTCCTGTCCAAACGCTGCCGGCCGCAGCTTCAGGTTAGTCGCGATTTCTATTCCCGTAAAACAGTCAGAAACGTTACTTGAAACGTTACAGCTGTAGAAACTCGTTAAGTAAAGCCATTCCTAGGTAATAGTTTTACCGGAGTATCTCTGGTTAGAACAAGATGCGTGTTTCTTGGTGACGATATATGATGGTGAATTATACTTTGATACGCATTGGTATACGAGTGTTATCGTGAAGGCTTATTCTTCCGCCGTAGTGACTGTTTTCGCGAAGAAATCGATTGCAGTTAATTAGCGCATCTGTGTCGTACAACGTCGAACTTGCAGCTGGCGCGTTATGAAGTAAAACGCAAGTTTTCAAGTGGTAAACTTGTAACACATTTGTCAAATTCAAGTATTTGTCGTACAGCTGCTGTTCTCGTTAGGGGCGTATTTTTTCGAGTTGGGAACTCGGTTAAGCAATGCTATTTTGAACTTATTTCACTTGTTTGATTTTCGTCTACAGGCTCTGCTCAGTCTTCGGCCTCAATCAAAGCCTCATTTCAGGTTCTACTATTGTGATCACCTGCAAATAGGCGCTGCAGAAAAATATTGTTGTAGAGTTTCCGATGTGATTCCCCGTGTCATTGTAAATAAAAATGTAGGCCGAAACTATTTTTTTTTTTCATTTGGCAAATACATTTCCTCTGCACACGGGGTAGAACCTTTTTTCATTTTATTTTCTCAAAAAGTTTCATTTTTAAAGCACAAAAAGCACTTTTGTTTTTGAAGTTGAATGACCAACTGCAAACGTCTTTCATCTTGCTATACGGTTAAAAAGAACTATACCTGTTTCTTGAATTGCGCGCGTAAAAAACTGTTATAAGGTCCGTTATTGAGTTACGAAGCGTCGCTTTCCCAGTACGACACGAATTGTATTTACCCCTCATAAAGCACATCACTATTATTATATATAATCTATTTTTACACTATTCACTGCAGGGCTGCCGGAGGTGAACTTCAACACGTCCTGGATGCCGAGGACTGCTTGCCGGAATGTAGCGTGAGGCAGCTTTTACTGCAAATCGCCGAAGGTTTGGCATTTCTTCATTCGCAACATATTGCTCACCTCGATATAAAACCGGCAAACCTACTACTGTCAGCGGCTTGGCCGCAAGTTGATGCTAAGCTTTGCGATTTTGGTATTTCTCGCCTCATTCTTCCTGGTGAAGAAATACACGAGATTGCCGGAACGCCTGATTATATCGGTATGTATCCTGCTGCTAGACACGTATCGTGCTTAGAAACACAGATGGTGGATTGCCCAGGTTGTATGAACAACAGTCTCCTCTAATAATATCATTCGGACAAGCTACGTTTGTATTAATCGTATTTCTAAAATCATTTGTAGTGTTTTATCTGTCATACCGAAAAATAACTAATTTTTTTTGACTCAATTAGTATGCCCTGTCTCAGACTAAAATGCCAATTTGATTTGGGTAACAGGCCAAATGTGTTTTCTGCATTATATGTGTTGGACAAATATATCGTTCTTCCTATACTCGCATTTCAACAACAAGCCTATGACCTATTTGGTGTCCTTTTCAAGTCTATATCCATTAAATATCTGTTGTATATTTCTATTTTTTGTTTACTTCTTTACAGCTCCTGAAGTTTTACAATATGAACCGATATCGCTTTCCACGGACATGTGGTACGTTTATCAAAGCTGCCTTTAGATATTTATATATAGTTAAAATGTATTTTTTTTATCAAGTCCAACGTATTAAACTATTAAATCTAATTATAAAACGAGTTATTGTATTATTACAACAGAATTTGGTATTGTGTACGGCAAACTAGCTGCTAATCAAATGAGTAATGTGACAATGGTTTCAAGCTTATACTTGGTTAGCAAAATTATTTCTTAGATATTTTAAAAAATTAATTATATCTAGATCACTGAATGTTAATTACCTACATTTCGCTTTTCATTTACAGGAGTTTGGGAATTTTAACATATGTTCTCCTTACTGGCCATACTCCGTTTGGCGGTGATACAAAACAAGACACATACTGCAACATCACTCTCGGAGAACTCGACTTTCCCCAGGATCTTTTCAAGGATGTAACTTCGGAAGCTATTCATTTTATTACACAGCTCGTTGTCAAGGATCCCAAGTTGGTTTCGCTTAATTTCTTTTGTTTTTATGTCCATCGCAGTATATAATCCTGACAAGTTAGAAATCTTTGTAATTAATAACAAGTAAATTTGTTATAGTATATTTGTTCGTATTAACTTATAGATTTGATCTGTTTTTTGTTGCATTTCGCACAAATCGTCACAATCGCAATGAAACAATAGCCTCTTGTAGGTAACTATTCCCTGAATTATACCTGAACTCCATTTAGAACGTTTTACTCATAGAATACTATTAATACTGTTAACTCCCAGACCATTTTGTTATGTCAATTTCTTTGTTGTCCAGAAAACGACTGAGTATCGGTGAGGTCCTGAAGCACCCCTGGCTAACTCAGCCTTCGCCGTGTCCCTCATTCTTGGCAATTACCGCGGTTATCGGAGTTACAAATGATAACACTAGCCATCTGGTCGCCAACAGCAATAATGTTAATAATAATAACATTCATTCAAACGGCAAAAACTCTAACAAAATCACTAACGGTATAGCTAGCTACGGTTTAGTGGTCGACAGCGAACAGTCACCCAATCCACGAGAGGATCAGGAGGCGGTCGAACGTCTGCGTGGGGGTGCCGCCGTCGTTCAGTGCGAAACACCGTCGAGTTCATCTATAGGTAGTTGTGAAGAGAGTGATGCTGAAATTATTATGGAGGATCAGCGAGGACTTCAACATCAGCAGCCACAGTCTAAGCAACAAATCGTGAACGAAGATAGCAGCAGTGATACTATAAACATGAATTCAGACAATAATAGCAGGAGAAGCCAGAGCCGTAACGGCGTCGTCGAAGCGAAACAGACTCGGGGTAGTTCGCCAGTCATGGCCAAGCGCGCCATCGTGAATGAGGTTGAAACGCCAAATGTCGTTGCGGTGGCTGGTCATGATGATGTTGTGCCAAATAATCCAGCCGACTCAACAATCGGTGTCCAGCTGCAGCATGGCGAAACATCTGAGCAGCTCGTTCAGATTCATGAGAGCAGCGGGGAAGAAAGGTACGTTGGAATTAAGATCCTAAGAAAAAAATTAAAAGTAGACACGGTTGTTGGAAAGAACGTATTAGTTACTTGTAAAATACAGGATGTCCTATTTTGTCTCGGTTCTTACTCGTCATATCGGACGGGATAGAAGTCGACCAATGTGGAGACTTCGATAACCTTATCTGCGAATAAATGCAAGACAAAATGGTTCGGAGACCATCTTTCAATAACACAGTGATTATGGTTACAACTGATATTGAATGAGAGAAATTAAATCAATCGTGTGTTTTATTTAGAGGGTTATAGGTCGAATAGAATGCAATGAGAGGCTTCTTAGTAAAAGACCAGTACTGACAATAGTGAAATACTTCAAGTTTCACCCTATAATAAATTATCGCTTTTCATTTCTCCTAATTATGTCACTCTGAGATAATTTACAGTCTCTCGTTCTGACCTATCTATGTTCTTTTTTCTTCTGCCTCTGACTTCTGTAACCCCGTCCATTTGACCTGTCTAATCTAATTATGACGTTCCGACTGCCCGATTTTTTTAATCTTCGATCTTGCTCTAAAAAATCCTCACCCTATTTATCCTATCCAATCCAATATAAATATCCCTAAACCACCCTGCGCCAATACGCCGCAAATGGACGCGTCTGTGACGAAATCAGCAGTGAATCCTGCGAATCCCAATCGGAACCTGATTCAGACGCCGATGAAGATGCGCCTGTGCAGATAACCGATGTAACGGACGATCCTGAAAGTCAGGCCGAGCTTGAGGACCACTCGGCCACGCCAATCGTTACCGATTCTGAGGACGTTCTTCAGAGTCCTTCAGCGTCACAGAGCAATATTTATGCTCTGCACAAAAATCGCAAGGTACTACTAAGTAGATTAGCGATAAAGGAACAAGAAAGGCTACAGCAGCACTCGATTGCTTCTTCGGGATCTGTGAGCAGCACAACGACGTCAAAAAGTGTCTCTGCTACGGATTTACGTCGGTCAAGTGTTGGCAAAGGAAGGTCCAGTAAGAAGAATAAATCTAAGAGCAAAAGCCAATCCAATTTATCTAAGCAGGATAGAGGCAAGTCGCAGTCCGATTTATTTGGGCATGATAATCAGCAAAATACCGTTATTGAACAGCACAAGGTCGTTGCGACGCCCGAATGCGTGACAATGCAGAGTGTCCGACCAAAGACGCCTGCCTTAAAGTCATCAGGGAACACTTGTCTTCATCAGAACGAATTTGAGAGGAGAAACGATGTAGCAACATCGAAAAGCTTTGATGATGATGAGGTGCAATTGGATACGGTCAAATCACCCCAGCCAGAAGTTGCCGCAAATATTGGTTTAGTGTTTGATGATGAACTTGTTAAGAAAACAATGGAGAAAGAATGTTGTAGTGAAGCATCAAATGGTCACCGAAAAATGAAGGGAACCGTCTTAAGAGAAGAGAAAGCAGTCGTTGAAGAATCCAACAACGATTTGAACAACTCATCCGAAGCTGTAGACAAAGCCTTCAATAATAATAATGGCGCCAAAAGTATGGCAAACAGTAAGAACAAAGCTGAAAATGGCTGTAAGAAAGGACACGATTTGGATGAAACCCAAGGCGATGGACGATGTAATACGGAAAACGTCACTTCAGAAAAAGTCCAAAAGGTCAACGAAAAAGGAGCCCACAGAGAGCACCATAGACCACGAAGTCCACAACTGTCTGTGTTTGACCGTATCAATCAGCGGGCGGCCAAGTTCATGGACATTGGCTCTCCGTTATCCCATTCTCATTTCTTTAAGACAGAATTTACCAATCGGAATGAGCCAATGTTTTTCCGAGAAACAAATGACTTATTTGAAAACTTCCAGCTGAGGCATGGTGACCTCATCGGCCGTTTCATGATAGACTTTCCGTTTAGAAACCGCGACGAATTGGGTCTAAGGAAAAGAGATTTAGAAAAAGTGAATCTGCGCAAATACGATGCAGTGGTTAAAAATGACACTAGTTGGCAATATGAAAAGGATGTGCCTCTTTTATCTGGTGAGCTAAAGGGCCGCTGTCCTTTCTACGATAGATTATCCCGCTTCGATGGGACACCTCGTCCAACACAAAAATTACAGGAAGAAGCACCTATCGCAAGCGCTTCCTTGAGAACAGCCCATTGTATTTACGACAAATCAACTGAAATGGGATCCTTCAAGCAACAGGAATTCGAGAGTTCTGAATGTGAGCCCGATCTCAATGTTTGGCAATATCAGGAAAGCTCTTCAGTTCTGCAAAATCGTACTAGCAGGCTCAATGGCGATCTCCGGCGAACCTTCGCGTCGCGCGAAGTGGAGGAAGATATCATTGTTGACCCTGAAAGCATGTGGCAGTACCAAGATGAGATTTCAATTCTCAGTCGATTACCAAAAATTCCGGTAAAGGATGAGATATTCGAGGAAACAATTCAGCGTCGCCGCCTCAACGCGCTTAAAAAAATGGCCGTCGGCTTTAAGCACGCTGGCGAAGGGTTGTTCACCGCAGACGACAATGACCTTATTGATAGAATCATGGGCACCGATTTAGGTGACGGTCTTCCTATCTTTAAGCGGGCTGGATACAATGATTCATCAGGCCTGAACTCGTTTCACTACGGAGACAGCTTCGAAACACAGCCAAGTAAATGCTCGGTTCAAAAGGGCTTTAGCAGTGACGACGCGTCCTTTGACCGATTTCGAGATAAAGCCAATGCAACAGACAGCGTTGACAACATTATTCCGGTAAACGTCGACGTAATGGCTGCAAATAAGGCTGTCTCAAGCTTTGAAAAAGCTAAACGAACAAGCGGCGCTAAATTAAATCGGTTACTTAACAAGTTAGACGAATGGGAAGAAAAGATCAAAAACGTGCGTTACGACGAACCTGAAAATGGCATAGGAACTCCGGTGGTCGGTGCTTGTACAACATCCAGACAAACCGATTTAGCGTCGTTATCATCTGAACAGATCAATCTTACAAAACACTTGACGAATGCCGCCTCGGAAGAAATGAGGACCTGCACTGCCGAAAAAATCATAGAGAAAAACAGCATCAATGAACCGTTCAAGGAGTACTCGTTTACGAGTTCCAGCAGTGGTTTGAAGAAGACAGTCTGCTACCAACGTACAGAAGTTAAGAAGGTTTGAACAAACTTCATGTCAAAACCCGATGAGCTCTCGTCCAGAGGTAAATCTCGCGTGAGACGAGTGCCGTGTACTGAATTGCCGTATGAAACTATTGATTGTCGATGGATTTATCAGTTTACCGCTTTTGGGTCGAAATCCCATTGCCCTCATGTTGTATCTGCGATATAGTTTGAAACGCATTTTCACTTGCTTGCATTACTAATTATTTAATCACATATGCGCCGCTATTGTCGCTGCATGTCAAAACATTGCACTAAACCTAAATTTATCTTTGTCAAAGAATAATTGTAGTCTTGTTTTTTCTAATACCGTATATATGCTGTTTGTTCGCCATTCATTGCAGAGTCTCCGTTCCTGATAGCGCTTCCCCAGCGCCGGAAGAGGAGCTCCCCTCGTTGCAATCATCGACATCTTCATCTTCATCGGATTCACCTGTTCCTGCCAAGAAGGACAAAGAGTGCGAAGCCCGACCATTGAAGGACGTTCCGAAGCCAAGAAAGGCGTCACTTCCTCCTCCTCTCGTTGTTCCGAAAAGTGTCGGATCATCCGGATTTGTTCTGGCATCGTCTGGCGGCAGGGCGTTCCAGCCCTCTCCAATTGATTACTCGTCATCACTTTCTCCACAGGTCTCTCCAACGCTACGTCGTAGCGTTGCTCTTCCATGCGCGTCCAGGCTACCCTCGATGAGACCGTTAACCCGAAGTACGTCGGTCAGTCCCGTCCGAACGGTGCTCTCTAGCAAGACCCCGTTGACGCCTAGCAAGTCTCTATCGAGCCCCCTCTCCTCACATCACTCTAGTTGTTTTAAATTAAACAACAACAGTGCTGCCAACGGCAACAGCACCCAACAGCATCAACATCAAGCTCAGTCCCAAAGTGGGACGTTGACGACGTACGGTCGAAGGGCGACCTTAACCTCCGCAGCGTCTCCTTCGTCGTCACACGCTCTTAGCGCCTTACCCCGGCGAATTCCTTCTTCCTCCTTAAAACGGCCCCAACCTACATCCACTCCTAAACAGTCCAAGACATCCTCCGGTTCAAATAGTACCGCTACTAGCAGCCATAGCCAGTACAACAACATCAGCGCAAGCCACAACCATAGTTCATCAACGCATGTGCTCACGAGCACCGCGAGTTCTTCGACTAACAATTCTGCCCATGCCCACAAGGCGTCGACAACTTTTCGCCCGAGTCTGTTGTCCCCGACTGTATCCAGTGCTCTCAAATCTTGTGCCGTCCCGCTGCGCGCGGTCAACTCGTTAAGTCGAGCCGATTGTGAGATTCATGGGTGCCACCAGCAACAGCCATACCAGCACCATCGACGATCGCTTATCTTGTCCCCGTCCAGCACTCAGAATCACCATCATCACTTACAGGAGAACAAGGGGACTCCGATAAACAAACGGAGCTCATTGCCTGAGCGGTCGATGAAGAAGCCCGTTAAAGGCGGTTCGACACCCTCAGCGTCATTGACACCTACGACGGGCTCGTCGACCGTGGTAAGGCGATCGAGCGCGATTCTCGACCGAACCAAGACGGCAGCTGCGCGAAAAAGTATGGAGCTCGAAGGATTGCGAAGGAAGACATTTAATGACGATGTGCTCGTTTGCCAATTGTGGCAAAGCAGCTAAAAGACGCTGGAAGTGCTGGCCTTAGCGGAGACAGCACAGTGCTGCAAGTAGTAAGACCCTTTGTGTAACTTCTTGGTACCGAAGACAACAAGTAGTAGACAATGAAATTAAATTCTTGAAACAAATAAAAATAAGACAATAACATGTAAACGATATAACGAAATGCATATGGCATTTTGAGAAGTCGCCAGTGGCGTGCACCTGTGCAGTTGTCTAGCAGAGCGGATGCCGTATGCGATCATTTCCGGTGGTTAAAAATCTGGTCGTCGATGTGCAACTATAAATAACACAATTGACGTTCATTGTTTAGATGAGGTTAGGGCAAACTCGGACGTAGGCACTGTGCCACAATTGCACGCGATGTTTGTGGGATGAGATCGATGATTGATTGATTGTGATTGGCTAAACGTGACATGTATATGAAATGAGAGGTTGGTAACTATTCATAGTAATGCATCACGCTTCGCTTTTTCTGTACAGATCCTTAGACAAAGCTTGTGAATAGATGATACATATAGAAACTCTACGCAAAACTTCCGAGCGTGGGAGCACGCTTTCCCGTACCTGGGGTGACATACGCACCGACCGACGAGCTAGCCAATCGAATCGAGTCGTAAATTAAAAGTGTAGTAAGTATTTTTTTATTAATATTATCATATTGCCATTACATGTACTACGCCTATTCTACTGCCAAATCTACGAGATGCATAAGACCATTATGAGTAGCTATGATGACGGTATTATAGCACTTGGTTGGTAGGCGTTAATTGCATAGCTGTGGAGTAGGTCTCCTACTGCACGCCAAGGAGTCATTATTTCCTTACCACGCAGGTACCATTGTGGTATCATCAAATTAGAAAAGTGCTGAAAGCTTGCCAAATACGCAGTGAACAGGGTGTCTAAGCAGAACTCTGTGCTGTTCTAGCCAGTACAGAGAGCGGCGTTTGTGCGAGACCCGTATGAACTTACAGACCGATAAATTTGTATGGTTGTATAAACACACATGCATAAAACTACGTAAAAGACATCAAACGACGATCATTCTTAGCATTATCATCATGATGATACACCAGCAACAACAGAACAGTAGATAAAGATCAATATCATGATTTAAACATTACACACATGAACGACGTCATCTTCTGCCAGTCAAGCCGGACTGGCAACAGCTCCACCACCACAATAAAACGCGATCCGCTTTCAAGCCGTGGTAACATTTATTACATAACCTTACCCCAACATACATACACACAAAAGTAGCCAATAATAACAATAGAGTAATCGAGGGCGAGTGATCTATTTATTTTTTTGTCTAATCGATTTTGCTGCTGTAGCAATTCATTGGTGCTGTCATGGTTGTTTTTGTTACTACTGCTGCTGCTGCCGTCGCCGCAGCAGCTGCAAAACTCCTATCTCAGCATCTGCCAACAGCGAGACCAACGATAACAGTCATGGCGTCCCGTAAAAAATATCACGTGGAATACATTGGCGTTGGTATTGATATTTAACAAGGGACAGCACAATGCATATAACCGCTCATAACTGCGGAACCTTTTTTCGGACAACTCAGAATGCGAAATTATGCGATTGGTATCATCGTTCTGATATTTCACTTTATTCCTATTAGACAGTGTTTACGCGCGCCGTCCGAGCTGGCAACCAACCGGGGCCAACCAGTCGGGGGGCAAAGGCTGAAGGGTAAATGGGTTCAAGCTGTGGCTGATCGTCTGCAGGACGGTATAGAAACAAAGGAAGAAACGTGCATATACACGCAACCATGTATGGTTACACATTAAAGCGGTAAGTAGGAAGTACCAGCGGATATGGTTAAATAAGTGGTTAACAACGTACAGATAATTGGAGAAAAACGAGATGGCAAAAGCGATGGAAATTTGCTTTGAGTGACTTCGATATGAAAGTTAAGAGTGGGGACAGAATACAGGTTCGATGGAACATGCGACTGCGGCATTGGCCAGGACAGAATTGGTCCTATTCTTTTGGATGGGTTTGCTTAGCCTCTTTTTGCGTACGCAGTCCGCATTTTCTGCGTACGAAATCTAGCGCATTTCTGAGATGGGCGTTGCCATTACGGGAACCAGGCGCTGAAGCAGACGCTTTAGCAACCTTGAAGTGAGAGGGAGTCTACTCAGCGAGAGATATCAAGCAACCAAGAGAAAGAGATGAACGGCACAACTGTATGATAAAAGACACAACATAAATACATACACATTATTATTTAAGACTTCAATATTTGGTACATATAAGCAGCGCCGGTGATACTGGTAAAATCGAATGGAGTCCCAGACCGCGACTCGTTTTTCCCCCATCTTCACATATTTTGTTATCGTATTTTCTTCAATAAAATTATACTGTTTACGCCCTATAATCAGCTGCTTGTTTTTTTGAGCTATGTTAAGGTGCGGACGTTGATAACAATATACAGGAAAAATTCAATTTAAAAAATTATATATGAGTATCGTTGCTTCTATGAATAGATAATAATAATAATAGTTAATTATATTATTATTGTTATTCATTATATAAATTTGAGTCAATCGTAATTTATTGCACATTTTACTTCTAATTAGTGTATAAATCCTATTCTATACTTCGCAGGAAGTTTTGTTATTCTGTTAATAGGTCAAAATAAGCAAAATACGCGAGAGTCGCTATGCCGGATCTAAGATTGCTTTTGTTGTAATGTAAGATTGTCTTTTGTTATTTGGAGAAATATTTATAGAAGTTCGATATGATATAATTTCGAAAATCTCAGATGAACATGTTGGTGGAAATTTTCATTACATTCTTTAGAAATCGTCTGCATGATTTTGATAAGCCAAATTTATAAAATCCATTATTATCCCATATTATATATTAAACCATGTGCGCTAATGTATTAGAATAAAATGTCTCTATTTTTTTTTAATAATAAGGATATTTAATAATCGTGACTCGACTTTTCTTTAAAGAAATGATGAAAAATAGTAATTTTCAACAATGCTCGAGAAAATTTTTAAGGATGGTATCTATAGTTCAAGCATACCTATAAATATTCTCTTACTATCATTCGAACGACCAATCGGATCTAAAATACTTGTTTATACTGCAGAAATTGCCAAGCACCTTTAAAAAAAATGTATCCCTTTTTGTTTTTCCCCTTATAGCCCGCCTGTTGCCTTTACCAATACGAAGTATTCACAAGCGTTGCATATACAACACCTGAAGAGCCGTCTGCATATTTTATTGAATCATAGTTTACTCAGTAAAGAGTATGATGACCCGCTATTTGTGTAATATACTTGAATAACTGCCACTGTTACTTCTGTTGTATGTGTAGACGGCCTGACAGCCCGAGAAATTTTGATCTACTATATGCAATCTCTGATGATCAGCTTTTTTTATGCTATTTTACGAGTTGATCCTGTGTTGCTGGACACTCCCTATTGGTGCGCACTGGTCCCTACATGCTTAACGCAAACGAAGTAGTTTATAGTTACGTCAGTAGGCCGGTGTTTGGAGACGCCTTCCCCTAGTTGCGGTGGAAAAGGGAAATAATTCAGATTAAGGTGACAAACATCTCTGATTTTGTGTTGAACGAAAATGGCCTGGTTTGACTGAGTGAGAATTTCAAATGGTGTCATTTTGGCTCATCCATACTATATGAGGACTCAAATTCGGCACGCTTTCGATAAATCCTCTGACAAAGTTCGCTGAAAACCTTGGGCCCTTCACAGATCCGAGGGATGCCGTGGAAACAAGACAGCTATCGGCGCTTCAATAATGACCTGCTAATTTCAGCAAGGCTGACAACTGGTTTGAGCTTCAGCTTAAAATGGATCACTGTGCCAATCGTGATTGTCTTAATACTTGTCACTAGATAAAGCAACCTTCCCAAACGCTGAACTGTTTTATTAGAAGAGCAGCTGAAGAGTAAGATTATCGGATGCCTCAAACGGATAACACAGATTGAGTCTTTAGGTACTGATAGGCCTCTAACCATGTAGAACAAACCAAGACCTTAGCTTGTTCATACCCGAACTTGCCTTCTTTTCCTAGCTTTTACATAGTGAAATACTCACGGTACGCATCTGATTCAAAACGTAAACTTTAATTTTTGGTATTGCAAGCAAGAGACCTGCAACAACAGCGAGGCCTGAGAATTTCGATTTGAACCATCCAGCCATTCAGTAAGCTCATTCAAAGATCAAGGTAAAGGTAACGTTTACTCTGAGATCTCGCATCTCTGGCATTTTATCAAGAAATGCCTTAGAACCTTAAGTAAGTTCTCAAGTTCTTTTAGCCTCTCGCATCAAACACACATTTCATAAAGAGTGGCTGACATTCTTTCGAGTGGCTGCTACCGTGGTATCGCTGCGCAAAAACTAACACATATACTATAACTTTCTCGGCTATAGATATCACATGCGAAGACCCCAAAAGCTTCCCGCATATGATGACGTGCCTGTCCAATTTTAAGGACAAGAGGCCTTATTTTCCCGTAGAAAATCTTATATCCCGTCGACCCTCATACGATACTAGGAGATCTGATAAAGCCAAGGATATTATCGTGTATATGAACGCACCGGCTAGTAGTACCATTAAAGAGGATACGTCAAATTTCCAAATCGAGCGGGATCGGTATGAAGCAACTCGTTTTATAAGGTTTTATCTGCCAGTTGAATACCGAATAATTAAAGACAATGACAAATAGAATAAGATCGAAAAGAAACTATGGATAGTTTTAGATTTAAAAGATTTTTATTATGTTAAAATTAATGAGATTTAAAAACAAATTTGCTTGGACAGCGGAGGTGGCCCATTAAACGAAGGTTTGCTTTTGGAAAACCCTCGAGCTACCGGAGCTGAATGCAGCGAAGTCAATTCTATACTTAAAACTAAATATCTTGTTGTAGAAAAACCAATCTTACAGTTGATGTAATACTGATTCTAACTATTTTTATTCTCTCGATTAAAACGCTATGCGGATTACAACTGGCGCTACTGAAATTGCTTGCGTAGCACCGCAAAACTGTTCATAGACCAGAAGAAATCCTAAAATTTTGAACGGTTTTAACCATTCGGCCATATATAATACTATACATGTAAACTTTCTTCACTTAATTTCTTTTCGGATTTCTCGATATGACCCCTAAAAAGCCGATTTCTAATCTGATACTATTGCCTACCGAATGATGAATTCTTTTTTTTGCTTGCTAACAAAAGGACAAACACTACAAAGGTTTTTTTTTTAAGAAAATCTATCAGCAGAACAACGCTAATCAACCTTCCAAGTTCGATCTGGATTGAGTAGTTAACAGTTAATGTCTATGAGAACCTTTGCTATACTTATGCTCACGCTACACTGTCCTCTGTTGTATTATTAGCTACTAGAGATAGCTGACTAGTGAACTACGGTAAATTTAAGTAAAATGAAAATACCACTCGCTCTAACCTCAATTCAGCCTATATTTAATTAAAACAGTGGAGCCAAATGGAGTCGGTATATCGACAGATTCGAACTTATAAACGCAACAATGTTATTACGGTCGTATTAAAATCATAGCTACTATAAAGCCTCACGGGAAGCTTCCGTAACGCAGCCTTACAGAAGCTTCTTCGTTTCCGCAATAACGGAGTGCGGTTCTACGGAGCAATTCACTTAAGTGCTTAGCTAACTTATACTCGGGGCCCTGAGTCTAAGAGCAGCTAATCAAGCGATACCCATTCTTGACAATAAAGTAAATTTCTGATGAGTAAGAATACTAATTTTACCTATTAAGAGTCATTTTAATCCGGCTGTAGTGAGTTTCGGCTTAAAATCTCAACACAGGTTACACCAGCAGCGTTTAGCCAATGATAAAACCAGCAAAACCTTTGACAATGTCATTTGTTAGATTCCGGTGATTGTCACAAATCCTTTTGTGTTAATCGTCTATAACTAATTTTTATTTGAGACACCTATCGTATACACTAATTGTAACCAATCAACGTCTAAAATGTTGGGGTGGCGGTTCCAAATCAGGATAGAGAGACGTATCACCTTCTCTCCGGCCGTCATCCCACGTTTCTTCGTAGGGACTTTCAAACCATCTGGATGGTTCACACCATCGATGCAATCCGAAGATTCCGAAAATGACCAATGCCTGCGAAAGCATACCGACTCCTATAACAATTGGCAAGAATGATACTTGATTCATTTCCTGGCCGCCTCGAAGTGTCAAGAGGGCATTCCCTTCGCCACCCCGAGACATGCCGCAGCCAGAATTTTTGCAGGGGCAATTAGTGCCTTTCGAGTACTGTACGGACGAGAATGCTCGGGGTGACTTTGCACAACAGGAAAACGCATAGGAGAACGGAAGTTCTCGATAAGTGGCAGGGCAGGGATCACCACGTCCTTGACGATACATGTGCGGATTAGACATCTTCCCGCCTGCACAACACGTATTTCGCATGGTCTCTTAATGTTTGCCCGTAGCGAAAAAGTTTCGAGAAGAGCTTCGGTCGTACATACGTGTAGTCGTTTTAGCAGTAAACAGCGCCACCCGTATTTGGTGCACTGGTGTGGTTAATTCCCGTATTAAGACCTTCGTGTAGTATTGCTGTTCAGGTACATATGTCGACGTCAATCGAGTAGATGGAGTTGTTGGATCTGCGGTAATTTTCAACTGAACCCAGTAAGGTGTGTCGTTATTTTCACGGGACAGAGGTCGTAAATCGACCACTGCAGACTGGGCAGACAGAGATAGGCCTATTATATTTGCAGGTTTTATGTTATTAGTGCTCGAAAAGCTGTTTCAATGTCGACGTCGTTGAAATCGTCGTGAAAAGGGCAAAAATATGCACGGGATGATAGTAAATGTGATAAAACGGCTAATCTGATCCAACATATGCCTGTTTGAATCACGAACGAGTACTTTTACCGCATACGCACCGTATGCGATTAAATGTCATCCAGATGTTACCTAGATTTCGAATGCTTGTGAGGTAAGAAAGTTTGCCGAACTTAATTAACTTTTTGTTTAACAGTTTGTAGGATCAATTATCGAAAATACTTCATTGCAAAGCTTTGAGATGAACATACGTCGACCTTAAGTTTTAAATGAAACGTTAGAGAATGGTCCCGAATAACAGTGGCAAAATACGTACAGAACAAAAAGCTTAGACAGTCACCTGCATGTCAGGAGAACAGTGCGATCGCATAGAGGAACGTACTGCTTTATAATTTATATTTATCTTTGAAATATCTGGAGCTCGTCTAAAACGGCTAAACAATTATGTTATAATACGCCTAATAATTATTGTTTGCCCATTTGTAGAGACTGTCCTTAGCGACTAACCCGATCTATGTATATCGAGTGCTCCAGGTATTTGCCATATTCG